GCATGCAGCAGCAGGCTAACCGACGTCGACTTCCATGTCCTTTCCGCGAGGGAGACCTTGTTTGGGTCCTCTCGGAGGAATTTGCGCTCGAGCAGGACGTTTCGCGCAAACTCCTTCCGAAATGGTTCGGACCATGGGAAGTCACTTCTGCCGTTGGAGACGACCCCGCAGGTCCTTCCTTCGTGATCAACATCCCACCGCACCTTCCAGTGCATCGGGTCTTCCACGCGTCAAAGCTGGCCATCTACACGCCACCTTCAGCTGACGAGTTTCCCGGATGTCGATCACAGGATCCGCCTTCTATGGACGGACATCAGGAAGTTGACCGAGTCATCACGCACCGCAAGTATGGCAACAAGCCAATGCAGTTCAAGGTCACATTCAAGCAATGTGCGGCTGATGACACTCGATGGATCTCTTGTACAGATTTGCAGACTTCTGCACCCCTTATCTTCGCCGACTATGAGAAGCGACGCCTTGCTAAGGAAGCAGCTCGTCCCGCCCGACCCACCCCGGTATCGGACAGACAACTTCGCCCTCGCAGGTAGCTCGGTCTTTTAAGAGGGGGAGTGTGTTACATCTTCGACGCCACACGGGTCCTACCGGACCCGACTTAGGGTTAGAGGGACATATAGGGCCTAAAGGCCCGACCTTGGAGGTACTACAGGCCGTAAAGGCCTTACCTTGGACCAGACCTGACGGGCAGGCCCAAACGACATTACCGTTTGGGCCTAACGGCGCTCTTGAGGCTGCCGCCCGCCGGTTGGGGCTGAACCGTCCATCTTGACGGTTCAGGGCACGGCCAGGCCTCGCAGCATTGAGGCCGGCCTCTGCCCCACCGGTACAAAAGTACTGGTCCAGCCTCAGTGAGGCTATTGACCTACCGGCATTCTACCGGTACGGTATGGTACAGCGCGATACAGCGCTGGCGCTAAGTTTAGCGCAGGAGCAGCGAGGAGCAGCAGCGCAACATTAGCGCAGCAGCAGCGAGCGAGCAGCAGCAGCGGCGACTGAGTGTACCGGCGGCCATCGCCGCCTGAGGTATCGGGAGTTGGAGGCCTCTCTCCTCCCTCCCCTCGCCAGTCCTCTCTCTCTCTCTCTCCTCCTCGGCTCCTTCTTCTTCTTCTTCTTCTTCTTCTTCTTCAGATTGGAGACTTATACTAGTGGACAGAGATCAGTGTTGGACTTCGTTGGTATGAGACTGTGGTACTTACCGGATTGGAGACTTGGAGATTGTTGGGGTTGATACCTGGCGGCATCACAGTTCGGACACCGGTTACATTTGGACTCTGTATCTCCGACATTGGTTACTGATTGTCCTCGACATTTTGATCTTGTTGGATGACATTTTGGACTACCATATCGGTGACCTATCGGATTATATCTCGGTGACCTACCGGTGCTGTCTACCTCCCCCACCTCCTTCGTCTCTCCTCCCACCTTTCATCTGTGTATGTGTGTACGGGATCTGGGCATCGTCCATGCTTGACCCAGACCCCACCATGTCACGATTGTATGTGTGTGGAGTGATTCTTGAGTCAGTCTATGTGAGTCAGTCCGTTTATCAGACTTCCGCTGCATATATGCTCATCCTACATTGGTTGATCTTTGGTTCTGCCCATACTCATTGAAGTATGTAACAGAGTCCTATCTACCCATCCCTCCCCGCACCAATCTATTTATCATCCCACCCCCTATCCCCTCCACCCCCGCCCATGATCAGTACAGGAGACCGACCTAGAGATCATCGGACCATACTCAACACACAGCCCACACACAGACACTCAACATGCACCAGACCCCTAAAGGCCAACCACTCAAACAGTCCTCCCCCCAAAGCCCGCTACCAGCATAATAAGTACCATGCATCAGCCCAAGGGGGGTGTGCGAATGGCTGGGCACTATGAAAGCGCGTAAGAGTTTTGAACCTGTGACCTCATACCACGATGCGCTTTCCCAGACGGTGCTCTAACCACTGAGCCACATTTTCTTTCTTCTTTTCTTGTTCGCCAGTTTTTTTTTGCTTTTTTTTTTTGCTTCCTCCACTCTTCTCTCTCTTCTTCTTCAACGTCTGCTCCTGTTCTTCTCCTTCTTCTTTCTTTTTCTTCCACTCATCTTGTTCTCTTCTTTCACACCTCGCCTTCTTCTCTTCTTCTCCTCTTCTTCGTCTTCTTCGTCTTCTTCAGCTTCTTTCACTAGTATTATGTTCTCCCCCTCTTCTCTTCTTCCTCCTCGTCTTCTTCCTTCCCTTGTCCTCTTCGTCTTCTTCCCCCTGCATTGAGCCTCACTGCTCATCACCATGAGCACACACACATGCACATTGAGATGTCACACGAAATCCACACTGTAGTCCAGAGATATGCACAGCTTAGAAATTCTAACAAATTATCTCAATAAAGTTGAATAAACAGTTTCAGAGATCCAGTCATCAAGCGCTCATCAGCGCAGAATACAGCATCCCAATACCAGCATCCTCATAAAAGGTAGGTGACTCTCTTCTCTCCCTCTCTGTCTTCCTCTCTCGCTCTCTCTATCTTCTCTCTGTCCCTTCTGATCTTCCTCATGCATGCGCTCGCTCTCCCTCTGTCTCTACTTGAGAATCTTGACTCTGAATACATCTGCTTCTACTCAGCTCTATCCCTACTACTAACTTATGCGGCTATGGCCGCCTTCTCCCTCAGTGCAGCGCTGCCGCAGCAGAGCTCTCGCGCGCATGCTACTCGCAGATGGCGCACGAGTGCTTCAACAGCACTTCCACACTTCTCACGAAAGAGCAATCTTTCCAGCCTCTGCTTCTTCTGGCTTGACTTGGTACTGTTACCACATCCCCACGGCCTGCTTGCTTCAGAATGTCAAGGCCTGGTACTTTTCCCGAATTTTCATTGGTGTGCTGCTGCTTGGGCCTGTGAGTCACGACTTTTCACCTGTGGAACATGACTTTTGACTGTGGGTTGTGACTCTTGCCTCTGGGACACGACTTTTTGCGCGGGGAAGTGTCCTTTGCCTGTGGAATATGACTTTTCAATAAGACTCCTCAATATGAGACGTGACTTTTGCTTATAGAACGCAACTTTTGCCTCTGGGATGTGACTGTTTACCGGGTGCCTGTTGTACTTGACTCCTTAGGTACCCGACTGTGACTTTTCTGAAACTGACCGACTTGGCCTCCCTTGGCCTAGGACCTTGACCCTGAAATTCGAATTTGGGGTCTGCATCGTGGAATGGCATTCACCCCTCTCCTCCTCTTTGTCGTCTTCCTTGTCTCCTTTTCTTCTCCTACCTTTTTTTTTTAATTTCGCGCACGTGAAACTGCCCACTTGGATGGATGGGGAGAGAGAGAGAGAGAGAGAGAGAGAGAGAGAGAGAGCTCCTCCTTTTTCATTGTGCGCACGAGAGAGAGAGAGAGAGAGAGAGAGAGAGAGAGAGAGAGAGAGAGAGAGAGAGAGAGAGAGAGAGAGAGACCCCTCCCATAAACCCAACCCACCTGAGCGCCAGAGAGAGAGAGAGACCCCTCTCATAAACCCAACCCGCCTGAGCGCCAGGACACCCTCAAAAGAAAATTGCACCTGTGAAGTTTTATTCTGGATCTCGGAGAGCGCAGTCAGAATCCGCGATCAAGAAAAAAGAAAAAAAAGGAGCATTTTGTTTTTTTTAACCGGTTTTCCAATTCACCCCTGCTGGGCCGGTCCGGCCCCGGTTGGACCAGCTGGTTGCTGGCCCAGCCCTGCTTTGGAGTGTACTCTCGTTTGCTTTGCTAATTGTCAAAATATTGTTAATTCTTGTAACTTTTCTTCTGAATAATGACTGCCTTAGTGCTGTTTACTAATGTTGAAAATCGATACATATGCCAGAAGGAAGAAAAGTCTGGATTATAAATTTGTAATGACCCGCCAAAACACAGACTGAGAACACTGCTGATTTCTGGGATTTGCCGTTGGAATGAATGCCTTGCTGAGATTCCCACATTCCGCTGTGATTTCTAAGTCTGTGTGTGTGTGTGTGCCTGCTAGTTTGCATGCCTGTCTGAGTGCTTGTCGGCTGAGTGTGTGTGTGACCCGCAAGGGTACTTGTTGGTTGAAAGGCCCCGCAGGGCCGGTACTTACCTGTGGCCGTGACTTTGAGGGTTGTGGTGGGGAAAACACTAAAGTAGCAGGGGTAGGCCCGTGACACGTAGAGCACCGGGGAAAAACACTCAGGTAGCAGGTAGGCCGGTACCACTCGAGTAGTGGTAGAAGTGTCGGGTACTGGAGGCCGAGCAGAAGAAGACAAAAAGTTGGCATTTTTAGAGGCCCAGTAGCGGTAGGTTAGAGTCAGGCGGGTACCAGTCCAAGTAGCCTGAGTCTAGGGCCTGTGCGGACGATAGCAGAGCCTGCAATGATGTTTCCCTCCGAAAGGGAGGAGGTACCGGTTGCTGGGAGGCCGCTCGGCCTAGGAAGTCACCACCCAAGAGGCCAGTAGGTCGCTATATCTTCTGGAGGAGCAAGCAGCTCCTCCTCATTTGCGGTATGCAAGGATTGGAGCCAAGCGCTGGACTTGTGCAGCGCTGCCTGGAGGAGAAGAGCAGCTGGGCGCTCAGCCTGGCTATGGCGAGCAGCCCAGCTTGAGGAGGAGGAAGAAGGGGGTGAAGGAGGAGAGTGGCGAGGTACCTGGCTATGGTGGACACCATCTTCATCACCTTGTTGGGCGCTCCATCTGGAAGGCCTCTGTTGGGGTGTGCCACACCAAGGAAGCTCGAGGCAGAGTCAGGCATTGCGGCTTTGTGAAGCAGCGGCATAGCTGCTTTGGGTTGTCCTTTGGACAGGAGTGCAGCGACATAGCTGCTTTGCGTTGTCCTTTGCACAGGAGGGCGGAGCCCTCAGTAGTCCGCCATAGCCTAGGCATGGGAGAGGAGGAGGAAGAAGGGGGGAAGCCATAGCTATGGTGGACCTGTCGTTGTGTCAGCAGTAAGAGGGAACTTCAGACATTGATTCTGGTTCATCCACTCATTGTTATTATTATTATTGGAAGAAGAATAAGATTGGCGAAGTGAAGGAGGAGGAAGGTGAAGTGAGAAGGGGGATTTGTCATTGGTCTTGCTGGTGTACACCTTCTTCTTCTTCTTCTTCTTCTTCTTCTTCTTCTTCTTTTCTCTCTCTTCTTTGGTCTCTCTCTTTGCAAGTGCTTTCATTTCTTTCGCAATTCGGTGGCATTGTCTTTCATTGCGAATTTGCACTTTGGGAATGACCAGGATCGTAACAATTGGTATTGGAGCGGACTTACTTGCTGGCGAGAGGTGTCAGTCACCCTAAACCTAATTCCGAATTAGGTTAGGGCTAACCTTATCTCGGATTAGGGTTGGAAGTTAGGGTTAAGAGGGGCAGTGAGGTATATGGATGCTGTCCCCACCTGGTTAGGTCATTTAGGGTGGACATCAGACCTGACCAGGTTGTTTGTGTTATTGAATGGGGTGGCGAGACACAAAGGAGACTGATTGGAGTAAGCGAGAGGGAGTAGAGAGTGAGAGGTACTCGCACTTGGAATCTGCACTTCAAGAAGACATCGAGTGACTTCCGGGCATCCCCTCAAGAGGGAGACTTGATCGGAGGCTGCCATATTTACATCGAAGAGCTGCAAGTTGCTACTTTGGTCTTTAAACATTGACGGAGGATCCGGTGTTGTAACAGGGGTGTGGGAAGGCCCTCTTAGTCATGCTAGGACACTTCGTGTACTGGTAGCTAGGGGTCAGGAGGACCTGTGAGAGAGGGGGGTGAGTCGTTATCCATCTTTGGAGGCCAGGCCTCACAGGTAAGTGTCGTGTGACCTGGGTATGCCCGTGGGAGGTTGCTTGGCGCTTCATGGTCTGTTGGGGTGTGTTGGGCTCTCTTCCTCTTCTCTGCGGTCTTGGTTGTGTGTGTGAGCTTGTGGATTACTTTCTCACCTGATGGATGGATGGATGATGTATCTTGTTCTTAATGACATATCTTTCTATAGTGCATTGTCTTTTCATTTCTGAACAGCTGTAGGGGTAGGTTCTTGCTGAAAGTTGTCTTTTCCTTTTCGGTACGGTAGAGGCAGTTCGGGACAACTTGGTACACCTATCTCATTGGTCCTGGTCCACGATCTACTTGGGACCCTTTGGGACTCAGTGGGACCAGGCCCAATGGGACAGGACCTTTAGGACCCAAATCTGTTGCCGTCAATGCATCTCTTTGCTGTGCTGAATTTGGGGGACACACAACTAGTAAGGACATTCCTTTCAAGGGGATCTTGGCTGGTCTTTCTGCATGTTCTCACATACTGCCCCGCATCTGGCTCAGCGACCGTTTGCACCCCTCGAAATCTCCATTGCTGCAGTTAGTTTTCTTCGGCTGACTTATTTGTGGTACATGTCCTTGTCAGGTTAGACAAGAGGGGATCTCCAGCTAATCTGATCGGGCCCGTTCGTTAAGCCAGTCCTGTCTTTCGTTTGTTTTTATTTATTTATTTATTTTTATTCTGCTGTGTGAATGCCATTCTCTAAGTCCAAATAAATTGCCGCTCCGGCTAGGAGTTCTACCTTCTGCTCTTCTACCTTCTGCTCTTTGTGATTTATTGTTTTTCTTTTATCTGAACTATCTATGTCCAGTATTGAGACGCCTGTGCAGAAAGCGGAAAGAGAGAGAAGGGAGAGAAGGTATTCTTTTTGAGAGTGTGAGGAGGGGTAAGAGGAGCGTTCGTCCAAGCGTGGGCAAAGAGCGGACCCCTCTTGAGAGATCTACTGACACCGCATCTTAGCTGCTGCCTTAGCAGCCTTGGTTCGACTGCGGACCTTGGAAGATCTTGAGTCCCGTGTAACAACTCTAGAGCAGCGGAACCAAGAGCTGCAGGTTGAGATCATCAGCCTCAAACAAGCCCAATTGGCTGCCCCCCGTCCTCCTAATCCTCGTCCTGCTGCAGTTCCAGTCTCCTGCCACTCACCCACTCACATGCCACTTACCCAGTCACCTGTTCACCCGTTCACCCACTTACCCATTCACCCACTCACCCATTCACCCACTCACCCATTCACCCACTCACCCATTCGCCCATTCGCAGAGGGAAGGGGAATGTTTGCTACGTGTTAAACAGGAAAGGGACGCTCAAAGCACGCGCATGATCTGACACAAGAGGCAATGGGTAATTGGTGATGCTTGAGAGTAGTAGAGAGTCGAGGTGCTGACTCCTCTGCCTTGTGGTGCAGGAATACCTTATGAGGCACAAGGAAAGATAATGCAGCCATTCATCCAGGCTGACTGTAGCACATCCAGGAACTTCGGAGGAACAGGCATTGGTTTGAGTATCAGCAAAAGGCTTGCTGGTGAGTAGGCTCCTCCTCTATAACAGGCATGTTTTCTCTCAGACTTCAAGATGCTGTTGTGTTGAGGGGATGGATTTGTAAAGGACGGCATGCTGCACAGGGCTTCATAAAACTGATTGGACTCAATTCTTCGAGCAGGCCGAGCTGTGGAGACGAGAAATTGAGAAACTTTTCTTGCTTTTTGTTCAAACTTTTTAGCATACTTCTACTTCCGTGGCATGATGGAAACATGTTGGTGGTGTTGTCCAACTATTATGACATGATGTGGACATGTTGGTGGGGGAAAGGGAGGTTGGAAAAATGTGTGCTTATGGTTAAGGAGGAGTTGGTGGGGTTGGGGGGGGGAAGTTGGGTTGTGTACTTATGGGAAAGGAAGGGTTGGGGGAGAGATGTTAATGGAGAGCGGGAAATCCGCTGGAAAACTTTGGAAACAAATGATATGGGCTCTAACACAAAAACACTTTCTGAGTTTGAGTACCCGTTCGACGATCTCAACGAACTTGTTAGTCCAAATATGTAAAAAGTTGCTAAAAACTGAATACACAACTTACCCTAAAGCACATAGATATCAGACACACACAAAAAATCAGTGAAACTTTTTCGCCAATGATAATGAGGCGAACACTTGGAGCCTGGACGTGCCCAACTGTAAAGGGCCCAGGCCCCTAACAACAGAGGTGGGCCTGGGCGCAGACACTGGGGCCCGACAGGAAGCTACTGGAAACTTCCCCAGCCAGGCTCACACAATCATACAGGCAGCGGCATTCTGGCCTGAACAGGCAATGTGGCCACACTGCTGCTACGCTGTGCGAAGCTGCACTATGCAGATAGGCCAGGGCGCACGCGGGCGCAAGAGGGGGGAGGGTGCTGTGGTGGCAGTGGGCGCACCGCGGCCATAGCCGGGCTGCACGTGCGGGTAGCAGGTGATGTGGATGGTGGTCTTCGGGTAGGAGGTACATGCAGAGGGGAGTCAAGGTGGGATGAGGGGAGAAGAGAGAACGTACCTGGTGTATGCTGGCGGTCGGCATTGGTGATGACGACACGTACATTGGTCTTCAACTTCGATGTGATCCAGTTGCTTGAACGTAGATAGGTATGGATAGGCTGGGATGAGGGGAGAAGAGAGAACGTACCTAGGTATGCTGGCGGTCGGCATTGGTGATGACAACACGTACATTGGTCTTCGACTTCGATGTGATCCGGTTGCTTGAACGTAGATAGGTATAGATAGGCCGAGTAGTGTAGGCTGGGCGCTGGGCACCATACAGTAGGAGTGACATTGGATACTGTGTTGGTGTGGCCTTAGGGCGTCACATTGGCATACAAGTTCATTGTATTGCTCTTCTTTGGATGGTATCTTGGTGCATTGTGCTTTCTGCTTGGTACTAGGGCGGGGGGCAACATGCATCCCCTTAATTGTGAGAGGTAGCTATGCTTGCAGGGGTCCCCTGTATAGGCTTAGGAGTAGTGGTAGGTAGATAGTGAAAGGTGAAATGAGAGAAGAATAGAGTGCAAGGAATATGAGAGCAATAGACAGAAATCCAAGTCGCCGATGGTGGTCAGGGAGTAGGGTAGGGCCGCCGGTGGGGGGAACTGGCTAACACAAAGACCGAGCATTTTGCCAGTAGCTGCACCCCCCATCTACTTCCCCCACCCCCCATCGAGTAGCAGCAGTAGCTATGGCCAACACTCTCCCACACACCAGACACAACCCACTCACCCTCACACTCACACCTATGTTGGTCATAGACCCTACTAATAGCGATCAGGGGTATCAAGCAGACTATCACAGCTGGTTGGCACTAAGTGCGCCGCAGGCAGTCATGGGCCTGGAACCCGTTGTGAGGAGACCGGGGAGGAAGACGCGTGTTGTCCGCTGAAGCCCGGGGCAACAGCGTCTGTCACCCACTGTGCCCACTTCAGGGTCCTCAGCAGCAAACAGGGAGTAGGGGTTAGTTAGCCTGTCACACCCCTACTCAAAGAGTTACCTAGAGCGGTCTTACTGCAAGTATGAGCAGATGAAATAAAAATAAAATAAAAGTTATAAAACACTCACACCNATGAAATAAAAATAAAATAAAAGTTATAAAACACTCACACCCCTACTCAAAGAGTTACCTAGAGCGGTCTTACTGCAAGTATGAGCAGATGAAATTAAAATCAAATAAAAGTTATAGAACACTTATCTCAACCCTACAGATCTGATGATCAGCCGTCAACCCCCAGTTGTGGCCGTTTCCGAGAGAACATAAATTTGCAGGGGCAAATTTGGAAATTTCTTTGCACGATGATGGACTGGGAACTTGGGAGAACGACAGGGGTACTTCTAGAATTTTCCATCAACTGGGGCAATCATGCAAAATCATGAAACAGTAAGGGTATCTTTGAATCCTTTACAAGGGCAAAACTGGAGTTTTGCCAAGCCGCGCTGAGAGACTCTCAACTTACTGCATGTAGAACTACACCAGCTGTACATAAAATCTGCAAGAATGAACTCCAATTCTGCTATGCATGTGAGCTTGGGGGCTGTGCATGCCTGCCATTTGTCAGCGATTGAAACCCAGTTCGGTGCGAAGCATGTTGCAGAGGATGTGTCTGTCCATCAAACATGCTCCTCCTGGCTTGTAAACACAGTTGCCCTTTATAACACATACGCAGCTGTGATGATGTGACCATCCTGATATACATCTCTCTTATGGTCTGTTTGGCCCCTGTGTTTGAGTATTAAGTGGGACGCCTGATTTACCGCATTCACATGAGTAGTGTTGCCGTGCTTTCAACCATTTCGTCCAAAACTTGACGAATTAAAGATCAGAACGGTGGAGCTGTTTGTTTGGAAGCCCTCCTGATTCGCACGCGGTCCGATCTTAGATCTGGCCCCCACTAGGGAAGTTCTGGCCCCCTATAGACTGGTAACTTTGAAGTCAGGTTGAAAATATTTGTCAAACTTCAGATTCATTCAGATGTGTTGATAGCCTGTTCCCCGCTTGAAAAGGCTGTGGCCGTCTTTGATGCACATTCTACCACTAACTTGTCCTCTGTTTCAGCTCGAATTGCCAGATAAGAGAGTAGAGCTCCTTGGCTCTCTCTCTCTCTTTGGCTCTCTCTCTCTCTCTCTCTCTCTCTCTCTCTCTCTCTCTCTCTCTCTCTCTCTCTCTCTCTCT